ATATATACACGACACGATATTCATTACTCAGATTAGCAAGTTAAGTCTAAATTTGGTTTGATGATCAGGGGAAGATTTCTCCTGCGAAATCACGTGATAAATATTTGATCACCCCGTGTCATGTATGAAAGTAGATCACCCATAATGCTTACAAAAAAAAATTTTCCAATCAATGTATTTATGTCGAAAGAAATCGCTTCGTTTATAAAAAAAAAGAAAAAAAATAGTTAACATAATAATCATATAACCAAGTAAAAAAAAGTTCTTATTACAAAAAAAAGAAATTCATAAAGAAAAAAGTTTTTGATTTTTTTAAGAGAAAAAATCTATTTATCTTTTTTTGAAAAAAAAATAAAGTACAAATAAGAAAATATTTAAGGAATAAATGAAAATTTTAATCTTATAAATTAGACAACATAATTTTAAAAGAAAAAAATAAACAAAAATTTAATTTATTATTAAAAAAAAGAAGTGTAGAAAAATATGCATTTAAGGAAATGCTTAATGAATGACATTATTTATATTATATCATATAATGTATATATTTAAATATCAAGTTTTTTTATATAGATTAAAAAATTATAAATAAAATATCAATTTGTTAAAAAGGAAGTAGGCCTAATACTCTATTACTAGAATTTTAAATAGAAATAGAATAGTAATAAAAGTAAAAATTAAAATAGGATTAGAAAAATATTAGATTAGTATTTACAAGTAATTCTTATTATTAAATCATAATTAAAAAGAATAAAGATTATAAGTGTTTTAATAATTATTAATACTTTATAGATATTTGATTTAAAAATAAAATAAAGTAACATAAAAAAATTGTATTATGAAAATATAAGTTTTAAATAAAAGAACAAATACATTTCTATTTTACAATATATTTCTATTTTATTGAAACATTTAATACAAAAATTCAATGAGAATTTCTAGATATATAAGCTAAGTATTAATTAGGTTATAAAATCTTTCTAACCAAAAATGAAATATTTGATTCATATTATTATATGATATATAAATTTTATTTGGTTAAATTTTTATAGTTAAATATTTATTAGTAATTAAGCTAGTAAAATTTCTCATTTTGTATAATATCAGTCAAAAAATCTAAAATTAGATTTTAAAAATAATTGATATTATTTTTTAGATTTTAGATTTTTAATTTAAAAAAATTAAATTAAAATATTTGATATAAACTTAATATATATTAATTGTTTAAGTAAGTATTTAAATAAAAAATCTGAAGTATTTATACTTTCTAAAAAATTTTATTGAAAATTACTTTTTTTTTAAAAAAAAAAAAATACAAAAAAAAAATTACTAAATAAAATTATTAGTATAATAATATCTTATAAAGTAATTTTAATAGTAAAATTTTAAGTATTATAAAATTAGTATAATAACTTATTGTAAATAATTTTAATGAAAAATTATGTATATTATAAAAATAAATATTTTAAATATTACAAATTAATACTTTAATAGTAAAATTTTAAATAATAAATTTTAATATTATCTAATTTTTTTTAACTCAATATTTAATATTAGAATAATTTATTATTAATTGTAAATATTTTATAATTATATAGTATTTTTGATTCAAAATCTATTTTCTTATTTTATAAAATGATTTTAATAGCTTAATACCTATATAATAAAAATTTAAGATTAAATAATATAAATCTTTATTATATTATTAAAAGATTAGATATATTGTATCCTTTATTAGAAATACAATTGTAATAATCATTATTATTAATTTTATTCTATTTAAGCAAAAATCTCAAAAACATCAAGAAAAATAAAAAAACTCAAAAAAATTGATCCATTCTTAATAATATTTTTCAAATTTTGATAAATGTTTAATAATATATTTGTATTTCTATTTAAGTAAAATAAAAGTAGATCTAATAATACTTTTATAAGATTTATTATTAAAAGGTTTATTTCAGGAAGTATAGAATGAATATTTTAACTGTAATTAAAACAATCTGATTTTAGAGACTATATTATATAAGAAGGTGAAATTGAATTAATATAGAAGTGCAATAGATAGAGATTTTAATTTTTGAGTTCAGAAATCATGAAAGTTGTAAAAATACTATTTTTGACTAAACAATTAGGTAAAATCATAGTAAAAGAGATTTTTTATTTAAACAATCTTTTAATAGGTACTAAGATTGAATAATAATCTTTAAAAAAAAAAAAGGTATTTTTGAGAAAATATTCTAAAAGAAAAAATAATATCATGTTAAAGATGTAAATTAATTATTTATCTGTAAATAGTTTCACTTTTAGGATTATTATATATATTGTTATTATTCCTTTAATTTGTAACTTTATAAATAATAATAAATTTCAAATATTAATTCACACTTCTAAAAATCTAATGAAACCTAACTCAGATTTTAAATTAATTATATTTGTGTTAAATTTTATAGGAATAGAAGAGAAAGAAGCAACTGTATTAGTTAGAAATTGTAATTTATTTTATTAATAACAGTTTGAGTGATAGAATAAAATTCATTAGTTACTTTTAAATATTCTCTAAATCTTTCTTTGAGTGAACAATTCAGTTTAAATTATTTATATATCCTAAAGTTATTAGTGATAATTTATTTATGTCACTAAATAACTGCACTAACTAATGTCACTAATAATTACTAAGAAAATTATGATCATTATTTTTACTATTTCACTATTATCATAATTATCATAATTATCATTATAATATTTATTATAACGTTTATCTTTATTTTATTTACTATTATAATTATATTTATTTTCTTTATTATATTTATTATCTCTTTTTTATAATTGTATTTATATAAATATCCTATACTATTACTTTAACAAACTAATAAGTTTCTATTATACAATAAATAAAGTATAATCTTAACAATATAAAAAATATATCTTTGTCAATATTTATTTCCTTAAATATCAATCATCAATAAAGATAACTTGATCCTTTAACAGAAATAAATTCATATTTATTTTTTTTAGAGTTTATAACTTAAACTTTCTATTAGCAAATAAGTTTTGTTATCCTAATAGTATAGTATTTAGGCTTAATAAAGTGTTATATTTCTTAATAATTCTCTTATTGATCAAGGAATATGCAATAGTATAATAGATTTAATTATTAATGTAAATCCTTCAGAACTAAGTATACAAGTTATCTTTTTTATTTAAGATTGTATGATAGACTTAAATATTAATAAATAAACTTATTATTTTAAAATCAATAAAAATAATTGCCATTGAACCCAATTTTCTTTGCAAAATTGTTTCACTCTTATTGTTTATAAATTTCAAGAATTAACTTTATCTAAAATTATATTTGCTCTAGATGGAAATATATTTTCAACTGGTTATGCTTATATTACTTTTAGTAGATACCTTAAATGTAATAATATAAACATATCTCAACTTGATAGATCTGCTTTTATGACTAATCCTGATGTAATACTAGAATACTAATGATTAGAAATTATATCTAGAATAAATTCTTATCTATTTTTATAATTTACTTATTAACAATTTATTTATCTTAATTAGTAACTAAATTCATATTATATTACTAATAATCCTATTTTAATAAACATTTATAATTTATATAAAAAAATAAATCTTTTTACAATAAAAAAAAAATTTTTTTTTTTTTATATTTTGTAAATAAAAAATAATTTACAATTTTATTTTATTATTTATTTACTAATATTTATAAAATATTTATTTATATTACTGATTACTAATATTTATTTTATTTTTTTATTATAAAAAAATCACAAAATTCTTTACAATTAAATCAACTAATAAAATACAATAAGTAAAATTATTAGACTATTACAATATTATAATATTCATATTTTACATATCTATCGTAGGTACTAGAAAAAAAAGTACTGGCTATTTTGAAATATAATGTCAATTTTTAGTCAAATAATTTGATGATTATTTGGTAAATTATATGATAACAAATTAAACTTAACCTAGATCATAAGATTTAGGTTAGTTATACTAGACCTCTAGGGTTCAGGTTGATTAATCTAAACCTATTACCTAATTTAGTAATTTTTGGTTATTTTTGCATTTTTATATTTGTTAAATGACAAAAATCAGCATTTATGTTTCTTTCTTCTTGTTTTGCTTATTATTATTCTTTTTTTTATTTTATAACAGCCTTTTATTTTTTAAAGTTTTTCAATTTTTTACATGTTAATATTTTTATTTTATGAAATATAAAATTGTTTTAAACAACTATATCACATGTTGTGTTTTTTTAATTTCAATGTGTAATTTCTGCACTTTGGTCAAAATTAACTATTAAAACAAGCATAATTAAAGTTGTTCAGCAGGTATGAATGTAATCATATATTAATTTTTATTAAGTTAGCTTAAATATTTATAGGGTTATGCTTATTTTTGTAATATTTTCTTCAGATATTTTATGATGTAATTTAACACTTCTGTCAAACAAAATAGATAAAAAAAGCATAAGTAATGTTATTCAATTTGTATAAAGATATATCAATTTTTATCAAAATATTTATGGAGATATGGTAATTTCAGCACTTTTGATCAAACTAACTGACAAAACAAATATAGATAAAATTGTTCAACATATATGTATAATTATTTTTGTATGCATTTTTATACAATAAAAATTCAACAAATTTATTTAAAAATAATATTATTAGTAAAATTGTAAAATAAATCTTTTTTTGTCTCATGAAAATCTAAATTTTTCTTAAAAAAAAAAAATCACGAAAATTTTTTTCTAAGACAAATAATGACTGTTAAAATTCTCTTTCAAAAATACCAATTTTGGTAATTAAATTTTTACTGAAAGGGGAAGGAGGTACAGGTTAATTTGCCTGAACCCCGGGGGTCTAGAATTATAACCCTGAACTGGGAGTCTAGCTCATTAAATAAACTTTTATTCTCAAATCATTTTCTAAATAATTTTTATATAAAATTTTCTCTTTATCATGCAAAACAACAAAAGAAAACAAGTTTCTTCTGACTTAGCTTCTAATACTTCGAAAATTAGAAAATACGTTACTTCAGACAGCTGCAAGTTGAATATTCGTGACAAATATTGGAGTATGCTCATTCCTATTAACGAAGAAACAAGTGATCGAATCGGTTCTATTTACCTCGAGGCGGAATATCAAACATTCGGAAAGAACGAAACCCACAATGGTGTATGTATTCTAAAAAAAAATCAAACAAGTTAATATAAAACTTATTTATTTTACACGTCTTTAGTACCAACATATGCCAAGCGATTATGAACTTTATTGCATGTTATCTAAGGTGAGTTTGCTTAAGCATTCTTTAATCCATTAAATTACTAAGTATACATCGTAATAATAGATTTGAATTTTCCCTCTGATTTAGAATGAACACGGAATGAAGATCACAAAAATATGGTTGTATTTAAGGTTATTATAATTATTTAAATGCGTTATACTTAATATATACTATAACTATAACAGTGGAAACGTAACTTACATCAATCCGAAAGGAGAAGATTTAATTTTAAATAATGCTGGTGATAATACCGTCATTGTTGAAGGTTGCCTATTCCTAATATACCTTAATGAATTTACTGCACAATGTGAGTGTATTATCATTAAATTACATCTTACCAATTTCTCACATGTGAATGCTTTAATAAATACAATTTCTGCATGATTAAAAATAATAGTTATTCTAAATTTAATAATTTAGTTAAATTTCTTCTTTGGGATTGTCACTGTGGAAGCGTTATGGTAAATATAAAGTTCAATTTTGTATGATCATTTACATTCCTCTAAAATAATGATATTTTAGTTATATGACAAAGATGATGAAATCACTATTAAAGGTCAGGATGAAGAAGAAATACCAAACAAAGGTAAATTTTATCACATATACAACAATTGAATATTTTAATTCCAGTAATTAACATAAATAAATTTATTTGTTTAGATAATTTACAATGTGCAGTTCATAAGTACACAATAATTCGTCAATTAGGGCAGTAAGTATTCTTTTATAAGTATTTTATCGATGTTTTTAAATATTTTATTGATTTTTATTAATTATTTTATTAATAGGGGCGGGTTTGGCTCAGTTTTTAAAGTTTGAAACCAAAAAAACAATGAAATTTGTGCTTTGAAGTGTTCTTGGAAATATTCCCTTGCTCGGGAGTATTATATTTTTAAAAAAATAAAAGAAATTGTATTTGCTTTTTCTTATTAATCTGTCACAATTTTATCAGTTCATTAATATAATTCTATATTTTTAGCCAAATGTCTTACAAATTTTTTGCGGTTTTAATTACGAATACACCCAAAAAAGCTTTTTAATAATGGAATGGTAGTTAATCTTATTACTATTTATATTATATTTTTTGTTATATTACTTAATAACTGCTTGATTTTAGGATAAAAGATGGAACTTTGTATGATCTTATTAAAAATGAACACAGGTTTACCAAGGAGGAATTAGTTTCCCTTGTAAAGAATATGAGTGTCACATTAAATATAATAACCATTTAAATTTTACATTTTAAGTTTATAATAGACTAAATTCCTTTTTTTTTCGTAGGAATTTCATGAAAAAGGACTTGTATATAGGGATTTAAAACCAGCCAATATTCTAGTAGATTTATCAGTAACTCCCTTTAACGTAATCTTATGTGACTTTGGACTTTGCAAGGAGGCCGAAAAAATTATGCCTGGGAGACCTGGTGGAACGAAAACTTATTGTATGCAAGATTTATTTGAATTATTAATATATTCTAAAAATGGTATTAATTTAATTCAATATATAGTTTCTCCAGAGATATTAAATAAATATGGCAAACAAACCAAATTCCATGACTATTTCTCCCTAGGAATGGTATTATTAGAATGCATTATGAATAATAAATTTTATGGTTATGCTAAAGATTTTCAGGATACTTCTTCAATGAGGCAAAAACAAATTATTGAAAAGGTTTGTGCTCAGTATTTTGAAAGAAAACATACATGGATAAAGAAAATAAATGATGAAGGTGATTTATGATTTTTCTTTTTTTGTATAATTTATTATTATCACAATATATTTAATTGTAAAAATATCAAATTTAAATAATATAGTTTATAACATTATTGGAGATATGATAAGAATATCACCTGAAGAAAAAAAGTTATTTATATCTAATGTTTAGCCAAAGCTTTATATGGGATTCAGGCGTACATCTTTGCGCTATTTTGGAATATCCGATTAGATTACAAAATAATTCCTGCAAGAAGTAATAAAGGTTCCTATAAGTTCTACCAGAGCACACTTAAATTCTTGGAAGAGTCTTATTTTATTCAGGAATATCCTGTTTCATCAACGAATTCAAATACAGATAACGCTAATTCTGCAGAAAGTCCTGCTCGTTACTATCTTCAATCTCTTAGAATTGATCAAATAACAAACAATTTATATATTACACATTGGATGATAGTATTCTCCAAAATAATGATCGTAATCTTAAAGTTGGAAGAGGTCATGATTATTTACAAAACATCGAAATGGAGCTAGTTCGTAGATTAGTCTTGAATAATTCTCAGGCATACATGGAACTTTTCACATATCACATGATATTATTCAAAGAACATACAAGTATTCTTTTGGGATATCAAATCTTTAATTCATCAACAGAAAATTCCATCTGATAAGATTTTTTTGATTATAGCCGTGGTACCAACTAGTGCTATATACAGTAAATATCATAATAATAATTTATTATCTTATGATGAACTTTAATTTTCATTAGAAATTTTGCTTTGTTTCGTAAAACGTACATCGTTTGGAAACGAAGAGACAAAAATTCTTGATTATTTTAATCAATGGATGAAATTATCCATATTCTTATTAAACATTGGAACATGTCTCAAACATTTAACAGACCTTTATGAATTGATCGAAGAACAAATTGCTAAAATATATAGATAAAAATTAAATTTAATTGACTCAATATCATCTTCGATGTCGACAACGTGTATTCAGAACAATTAGATTGTTAATCGACTTCGAACTAGATTCTAGAAAGAGGATATACTGTATTTAATTAATAAGTGTCTCTCCAGCAGTCCTGAAGGCTTAATAGGTGAAATGCGATAATATGAAAAGAAGATGATACGGCTGACCGTAAAGTAAATGTGATCTATAGCATTGGAAAAAATTTTTTGAGGTTTTCTAATTTGGATATTGATTGATTGTCAAATGGGTGAAAATTTATTAAAGGGTGTGAACTTTCGGGGTTGAACAAGATAAATTTTGACAAAGAAAATTCGTTATTCAATTCATTAATAGAGGTTCTCAAAATTTAATGTGAAAAACGCCACTAGACTTAAAATGTAAATACAATAGATAAAATAACTCCGAAAATCTTACTTCAACAAATTGAAATTATCAACATACTTTTTTGGAGGTGTGTACATATGAACTCGTTATTAAATTCACGAAAGAAAATATTTTTTTATGAAAAATGGATGATAAATAGAAATAAATATGATAGTTTAAATGATTCATATAAGATCAAGCCGGGAATCAAAATTTATAGACAAACATTCGTCCAATTATATGGTTATAAGTCCAAACAAGAAACTTGCTGCAACTTTAATCCTCGTATGAAATTGATTACAATTTCTTTTAATTTTGATATTTCATTGAATTTATTACTGATTTCATTCAATCGACATAAGAATCTTATAATCATTTTTGATGATCGATCAATCTCATAGTCTAATCTATCTAACAATGCTTTCATAATTATGCTAGTAATTATGCCGCTATCAATTATAACAATTTAGGCTTTCTTTCAATTCAGAGAATACAGTTAGCTGCAAAAGTGAGCTAATCATCACGTTTAGCTAAATTGGCTTCTTTAGATTCTTCAGAAGCTTTTTCTCTGAATCTCCTTATAGCTTTAGCTAGACTAGAATAATAATTTATATGGTGTAAATAGCTTGTCTAACTGATAGTTTGCACAGAAGATTTTAGAGGTAAGTGATTATATTGAACTCTATTTATTGTTCAATTAGATTAGCATTAACTTTCATTTAACATTTTTAGGGTTATTCATAGTTTTAGTTTACATCAGTATAGAGGTATTTGTTTGCATAAATTCTTCAGTGAAATTTTGAAATAACATTTATTTTAGAGTCCTTCTAAGATTTTCTTCCCTTTAAAACCCTACACATTTGAATCTTTTATTTTTTGAAGCTGTATTACTAGGATATAGTCTTGATTGGATGTTTAAGTAAACTTCATATTTCTCACTTTCATCTGTCTTATAATTATAATTTTTATAATCTTTATCAATATATTAGTCTACCAATTGCATTTCTCAAATTTTACTAAAATGTGACCTACAGTTATCTTGATAATATCATTATAGCTAAGTGCAATTTTGCATTATATATTCTGAAATATTGCAATTATAATAAGTAAAGTTAATAGGTTTTGCATTTTAAGGTCTATAGGTACTTGTGTTCTGTTTATTTCTCTTTTTCAGATTTGTGACTAAGCTAATATTGTGAAAAGTAAATTAACATAATTAATGATAAATTATTCCAATTTTTTTTGTAAGTTTATCTATTTTAGTGCTAATAACTGGAATGAATTTTATTGACATAACATTGGAGGTAGAAGTGTTTATACTTGTATTCCTTAAAACTTTTCTAGTGGTAAAATTGTAACCAATTTCAATATTCTTTAGCATCTACCATAGCAGCTAAGTCATTAAAGGCTTATGTATATATTATCAGAATATATGCAGTTTTTAGTCTTATAAAAAACATTTATTTTTGCTGAGTATTATCAGTCAGCCATACCTTTTTAACTAGCTTGCAAATCTTATTAGTATAGATATCTACTGATTCATTCAAATATTATTGTAGAAAATTTAACTTTTGATACTATTAGTTTTTCCTAGTTTTATTAATAAACTAAGTGTTAAACTTATTTATGAAATTATTTTCATTATTTACAATTATAGCCCAATGATCACTTATAGATGCTGTATTTTCTTAAAACCAGTCAACTGCAACTCTTTTTAAGTATCCTTCAGCTATGACTTTTTCTTGAGACATCAATCTATTAATTAATAGTTACTACTTTTACAAAGGCAGCAAACCGTTTAATAGATCTTCTACTTTAATATCATAAAAGTAATCAACTTTTATTATAATCTATTCTATTGTTCTATTACATTTAATTGAATTCTATCTATTTCAAAATTTCTTCAAGAGCTTACCTTATTTATTCACTTATAACTACTATTATTTTTGAAGGTAGGGTAATAATTAGAATTGCTGATAAACTTATTGCAGAATATATTATAAAGGTAATTAATTATAAGAGTAATTATTAGTCTTTCTAAATTTATATTAAATCTTGATTGAGGATTTTATATATATTTTTAAAAAAATAGATAACTTGACAGGCTGTTAAAAACAATTTATTTTGAAAATACATCTTAGATATATAAATATATTACATTTGATGAAAAAGATTTAGTCCTATACTAAGACTAGAGAGAATAAATTATCTTTATCAATTAGCTATTACAGTATTCTGATACTAAGGTTTTACTTAATTACTTAAATAAATTGAAAGTAACAATTGATCTTGCTGTACAAGATTCTGCTTATATTCATAATGAAACTAATTCCAAAAATTTTGAAAATCAGTTTAAATGTATCAAATGGAGAAGATAGATAATATCAATTATAAGTATAATCTTCATTAAGAGGAAAATTTGAATAATGTTTAACAATATATTCTGCTGTATTTCTCTTAATTACTTCAAAATTCATATATATCATTATTTTTTTAGTGATTAATTATATATGAAATTAATTCTATTTCTCAATTTCTTTAAATCAAATTTTATATACCTTACTAAATTTGTTAGCAATTCATCATATATAAAATTAATAATATCCTAATAGGAATTAATATTATTCTATCTGTCAAATAAGTGTACTATGATTTGAAATCAATAAAACAATAGCTATGACATAAATTTAATTAATTTGACATGATATTAATTAGGGAGTTTATTTAGTTAATAAGAATAAAATTATAAGTTTTATGTTTGAAAAATATTAGATGTATATTTGAATACAATATTAGGATCTGTCTTTTTTCAAAGCATTTTCATACTCTTTATATAAGAAAATTACAATTAAAAAAAATCTATAGCAATAATTATAATCATGATACTATTAACAATTATAACAATGCTAACAGATATACTAATAATAAAATAAATAATAATAATAATAAATATAATAAAAATAATAAAATATATCCTATTCAGCAGATATTTTATATTTGTCAGATTCGTCAGTTTCTACCAGTTTTAATGTCAAAATACAGATAAAAGAATTAGATTTAATAATTACTAATGAATAAAAGACATTAATTTTTATATTTAATTATTAAATAATAATTTTAAATCTAATAATATATTTTAAGAAAATAAAAATTCTTTTGATTATTGAAATAATAAAGATTATACATTTTTTAATATTTTAGTTTTAGGATTGTTATTTAATAATTTTATACTAAAGTTATATGTTTTTCTATCTTGTATTAACTCTTTTCTTTTTTCTTTAGCTTAAGCTAGTATTTTACAAATCAAATCAAATCAGATTTTATTTAATTTAATCTGATTTAATTTTCATTATTATAAATTCAATCTAAATTTGAATCTGATATATCAGTTTAAATCCAGATCTGATTCAAATTTGACAGATTAAATTTTAAATTTAAATTTAATAGATCAATTAAAATCTAAATCTAATTTAAATTTAATAAACTAATTTAAATCTGTTTTATCAAATTTAAATTAGATTTGTGATATTTTAAATAATAAATAAATATTATCTTATTTTACTTATCTTTTATTATAAAGTTAATAATACTACTTAATTAATATTTTAAATTTTATTTATAATATAATATATTCTTTAAATTATTTAAGTATAAAAATTATTATTTTACTTTAAAAAAAAATCAGATTA